TTCTTTCTTTCTTTCTTTCTTTCTTTCTTTCTTTCTTTCTTTCTTTCTTTCTTTCTTTCTTTCTTTCTTTCCTTCCTTCCTTCCTTCCTCCCTCCCTCCCTCCCTCCCTCCCTCCCTCCCTCCCTCTCTCTCTCTCTTCTCCTGCCTCACTTCTCTTCCCCCTCATCCTCTCCACTGCTTCTGCATTTTGTATCTTATGAGTATTTTAAAACTGGATCAAACAATATCCGGCAACAACCACAACCAGCACGACCACCAAGAAATGTGGGCCTCCCTCGGGGTCGTATTTGTTGTGTGTGCAAAATGGAGGCCTGGAGAGACACAACAGGAAGGAAGCACTCAGCGCGGTGTGCAAAAAACAAAACCAAACAAACCCAGCCTCACGTTTCCTCTCCTCCCTCTTTTTTCTTTTCTTCTCGTCTTCTTTGTCTTTTGTTCTCGTTCCTTCCGTCCTGCCAGAAGAGGCTTCCAGAACCTTCTCCCTCCCTCCTTTGCTTGATCTTCCCGTTTAGAAACCCCGAAGATCGGCGGCAGCGGAGCAGGGCCAGCGCTGGCAAACATGGCTACAGCTGAATCGGGTAAAATCTTGGACTTCCAAATGTCCTGGAAGGGATCTCGGAGGTCATCTAGTCCAACCCCATTCCTCCCCTCCCCCCCCCCCCCCCCCCCCCACGCCTGAGCACCATTTTTGACAGAACGATTCAGCAGGGGGAACAGCCTTTTGTGGTTTTTTTGGAACAAGTTTTATTATATTTTTAAAGACAAAGAAAACATAAGACATAGGAACATAAAACCTCCTTTCTAAAAGCTCCTTATAGGTTTTAACAAAGCAAATGAAAACATTATTTTATACAGCATAGTTCCAAATTATCACATTGCCATTTAAACACATAGATATCTTTTCCAAATTTCTCGTTATTTCTCCCTTTACTTTTATTCCATTAGATTTCTTTCTATCAAGGTTTTCTTAATTCTCAATCCAACATAAACACACAAAATACAAAACATAAACCTAAAAACTCCTTTTTGGAAAGTGGCTTAGCCCCGGGTGACATCTTTTTTACAGACCTAAATCAAATTCATGCTCACCTTATATACCATTACTTCTCTTATTTACCATTCTATATTTTCTATATAATTTCTCCCCTCGTTTCACTCTCTTGATTCTATTTTGTTTATTTCATCTTAATTTAAATCATTATACTTGTATCTTTTGTCCGTTCTTTTCCAATTATCTATTTATCTCTTCTCTTTAACAGAAAAATTCCCCTGTAATCACTGGTTGAAGTATGACGCCTTTCTATCTTTCCCCTTAATTTAACACTTAAAATAATGCATCATTTCCATTCTGATTCTGCTTAGTACATTCTACATGTTACATTTTAAAATAGGAAAATGATAAATTTGTAATATAGTTAAATATATAATTTCCATTCTAATTCTGCTTAATACATTATTTAAAAAAATATATGAAGTGATCAATTTATAATAACATTAAAACAATAGCAAATAGTTAAACATTTTACACATTCCCTTTAATACTTTATTAAATATTGAAATCTATCATTATTAAGCATTTTAACATTTTAATATTATTGTTAGATCTTATAATATTCCAGTTTTCTATTTCAAATACAAATACATTTTAAAATAGGAAAATGATAAATTTGTAATATAGTTAAATATATAATTTCCATTCTAATTCTGCTTAATACATTATTTAAAAAAAAAAAAAGAAGTGATAAGTTTATAATAACATTAAAACAATAGCAAATAGTTAACCATTTTACACATTCCCTTTAATATTTTATTAAATATTGAAATCTATCATTATTAAGCATTTTAACATTTTAATATTATTGTTAGATCTTATAATATTCCAGTTTTCTATTTCAAATACAAATACATTTTAAAATAGGAAAATGATAAATTTGTAATATAGTTAAATATATAATTTCCATTCTAATTCTGCTTAATACATTATTTTAAAAAAAAAAAGAAGTGATGAGTTTATAATAACATTAAAACAATAGCAAATAGTTAACCATTTTACACATTCCCTTTAATATTTTATTAAATATTGAAATCTATCATTATTAAGCATTTTAACATTTTAATATTATTGTTAGATCTTATAGTATTCCAGTTTTCTATTTCAAATACAAATACATTTTAAAATAGGAAAATGATAAATTTGTAATATAGTTAAATATATAATTTCCATTCTAATTCTGCTTAATACATTATTTTTTTTAAAAAATATGAAGTGATAAATTTATCGTAACATTAAAACAATAGCAAATAGTTAAACATTTTACACATTCCCTTTAATATTTTATTAAATATTGAAATCTATCATTATTAAGCATTTTAATATTTTAATATTTTGTTAGATCTTATAATATTCCAGTTTTCCATTTCAAATACAAATACTACAATACTATCTTATGTACTTTGCAGAATCTTTTTAAAATTGTACTTTACCCTTTGTCTCTAAAAAAAAGTCTGCTTTTTTCCATCTTGTTTCAAGCCTTTGTGGCTTTTTCCCCCCTTTTCCCTTCCTTTCTTATGCAATCTGGCCTTTTTACCCCCCCATCTCCTAACCTCTGCCTTTTTAGCTTCCCCTCTCTGTTGTATTCCTCTTTTCTGTTGCTTTCTGACATTGTATGGATTTTTCACCTTATTTTTCTCTTGCTTGGTTGCTTTTTTAACTCTTAAATTCTCCAGTCTCCTTCCCCTCTTCCTCTTTTCTTTCTTAATTAAGATTTTTTTGTCCATTAAAGATGGCTTCTTCCTCTTCTGCTTCTTCTTCCTCCCAATCCTCTTGTTGTATTTGCTGGTAGGTAGAAATCACTGTTTCTAAAAAATGGAAAACAGCTCCCAAAGAGCCCTTGCCTTCTTGTTCTTCTTCCTTTAATTTTTCAAATTCCACTTTTAATTCATCCACAGATAATGCCGTTGTAAAAGCTTTTTCTTCTTCTTCTTTTTTTAAAACAACCCAAATGTTTTTAATCTTAGAGTAGTTTCCCAAAGTCCCAAAGTCATCAAGCAATCCAAACAGACACAAAATATTTCCTCTTCTTCCCTTTACACTTTCTCCTCCTGGAGCAGTATTAGTTACAAAGTCCCAAAATGTATTTCAAAGCCTTATTACAATTAATTTCTGGTCTTATCATCTTCAAGCGTCTCCTCCAACGAAGTCTTAGTATAATTTTTTTTTTGGGTCCTCTCCCTTCCCACTTATAACAAAGCGCTTTTTTAATTTTGACCTTCTATGTAAAAGCAGGTTTTTCAATGTCCGTTTGCTATCTCCGTAAGGAAGGAGAGTGAACTTTCCCTTTCAGCACTTTCATTCGCCGCTTTGACAGTCTCCTTTGGAAACAATATATCGTTCCAAGAGTCAGATTTCCAGGGTGTTGGGATATATCTTAATGTCCCGGTTTAGCCAAAAAGCTTTCACTTTTCAAACTCTTCCTCCTGCACAGTCTTAACCGGTTGAAGATTTCTTGGTGGCGGCCATTGCTGACCGCCGCTCCACTGCCTTAGGAAAAAGGAGTCTAGCCGGCTGGGGAAAGGGGTTGCGATATCCCCAAACCCCTGCCCGGATCTCCTCTGTCTTCCGTTACCTCTCCGGGGTAACAACAACCCCCCAAATCCGATTGAATCGGGGGTACTTCGGCGGCGAGCGGAGCAGGGACCCGCAGAGGGAAGAGCTTTTTGAAGAAAGGGTTGGAAAACCGTTTTGCCTGACATGGCAGAGGGTTTCCTGCCCGAGCGGCCGGGGGGGGGGTTGGACTAAATGATCTCCGAGGTCCCTTCCAAACTATGTAACTCTGTAAGGGTCTCCTGCTTAGATTGGGGATTGGACTAGATGACCTCCGAGTTCCCTGCCAGTTCTGTAATTCTCTAAGGGTCCCCTGCTTGGATTGGGGTTGGACTACATGACCTCCGAGGTTCCTTCTGACTTTGTGAGTCTATAATTCTCTAAGGGTCTCCTGCTTGGATTGGGGGTTGGACTAGATGACCTCCAAGGTCCCTTCTGACTGTGGATCTATAATTCTCTAAGGGTCCGCTGCTTGACATGGCGGTTGGACTAGAGGACCTCCAAGGTCCCTCCCAGCTCTGTAATTCTCTAAGGGTCCGCTGCTTGACATGGCGGTTGGACTAGAGGACCTCCAAGGTCCCTCCCAGCTCTGTAATTCTCTAAAGGTCCCCTGCTTGAGGTGGGGGTTGGACTAGATGACCTCGAAGTCGCCTCCCAACTCTGGTTCTGCAACTTTGTAAGGGTCTTTTGTTTGGGCAAGGGGTTGGACTAGATGACTTCCAAGTTCCCTTCTCACTCTGTGAGTCTATAATTCTCTAAAAGTTTCCTGCTCGGATTGGGGGTTGGACTAGATGACCTCCGAGTTCCCTTCTGACTCGGTGAGTCTAAGAATTCTCTGAGGGTCTCCTGCTTGAGCTAGGGGTTCTTCTAGATGACCTGCCAGGCCCCTTCCCGCTCTCTGAGTTTACAAAGATGTAAGGTCTCCTGCTGGAGAGGGAGGTGGGCTGGATGATCTCCCAGGTCCCTTCCCCCTCTGTGATTGTGTTAGGAGAACGGTGGAAATTTTCATCTTCTTTCCCACGCGAAGGACGTCCATGCCGTTGGCCAATTTATTCCTTCTCTTCCTTTCAGTTCCAGAGCTGCGGATCGTCATGGTGGGCAAAACTGGCAGCGGGAAAAGTGCGACCGGAAACACCATTTTAGGGGTGGATGCCTTCCCGTCCCGGCCGGCCTCGAGTTCCATCACCGCCAACTGCAAAATGGCCACGGAGATCTTGCCGGACGGGAGGCGCCTGGCCGTCATCGACACGCCGGGCTTTTTCGATACCGAGCACTCGGAGCAGGCGACCTGCGCCGAGATCAAACGGTGCATGGAGGTGTGTGCGCCGGGACCCCACGCCATCGTCCAAGTCATCCGCCTGACCCATTTCACCGAGGAAGAGTTGGAGTTCGCCCGGCTCATCACAGACATCTTCAGCCTAAAAGCCAAGGCGTACATGATCGTCTTGTTCACCCACAAAGAAGAGCTGGAGGGACGCTCTCTTCATGACCTGCTGTCCGACGACAACGACGACGGCCTGGAGCTCCTGCGCTCGCAAATCAAGAGTTGCGGGAACCGGTGCCTGGTTTTTAACAACCGGGCCGTAGGGTCGGAACGCCAGGCTCAGGTGGACGAGCTGATCCGGATGGTGGATGAGCTCGCGCGGAAGAATGAGCCGATGCCGTACTACACCAAAGACATGTTGGAGTCGGACCAAAAGAGCTCGCCGCAGTGGCCATGTTCCCTCCTGTGATACGGAGCATCTTCCTCCAATCGATTTGCGGGAGTGCGATTGTTGATTGATTGATTTATTTTTGTTTATGAGGGTGTGTGTGTATTTTGTTTGGGGAGTTGTTATGTTTGGAGTGTGTAGCGGAAGGAACGGGCCCCCGCAGGTGCGTGACGCTCCACTCGCGCGAGCGGCAGACAGGCGAGAACTCACATGCGAAGGTCCACTCCCGCGAGCGGAGTCCGTTGTTAGGAATGATAGTCCCCTAACAGTTGGGTTGGCAATATATAAACCGGGATAATCACTTAATACTAAATTTGGATGCAGTGTATATCTATCTATCTATCTATCTATCTATCTATCTATCTATCTATCTATCTATCTATCTATCTATCTA